TTTTTTTGCCCCCCCCCTTTTGCCCCCCCCCCCCCAAGTTTGCCCCTCAAATGCCCCCCCCCCCAAATTTGGAAGCCTGGCGCCGCCACTGATCACGTGACTTTACTAATTATACAATTTTTTGCTTGGGACTATATAATAAACAGAACATAATTACACGGTGGCTTGAAGATATATGACTTTTATCTTCTCGTGCTAAAACAATATTTTACTCACTCGCTGCGCTCGTTCGTAAAATCTTGTGTCAATAACATTTTTCATTGCATCATGCAAGTTTCCCCTTATAAGTTAAAACATGCAGGTATTTCCTTTCATGTTTTCTACAGGAAAATTGACATTAACATGCATGCTTACCTTATTATAATATCCACAATTTTAAACTCGTGATATATAGAGATATATATTGACGAGACCTGTATATATATACTTTACTAAACTAACGTTACGATACTTATCTTTTAAAATTAACTTTACTAGATGTATGAATATTTTGAAGTTAAGCATTGGTAACCGTAGTGTGCACGTGCAGATGGAGTGTGAATGCCGAGTTTCAAGACGTACGCTATAGTAAGTCACGTTTTATTGATTCATGTACTTCAAATATTGTAAATAGACCTACCCAAAGACGCACACAACCCCATTGTATTGTCGGATTAAGCTGCTCTTGTCAGTTCTACGTCTCTTTTGCAGCGCCGTCCTGTCACCCAACAACAGTCGCGTTGACTTTGTACTTTTAATTATGTGTTTTTATCATTATATAGCTGGGCTATTTTTTAGGCTTGCAAACCTTGGCCGTCTCATATACATACGCGCCTCAGTCGCGGCTTATAGCTACGTTTAAAATTAAAAACATTTTAAATAATATTCGGTTATTTCATATCTTCATCTCATAAGTAATAGTAGCTCATCATCATCATCATCATCATCATCATCATCAATCAATTTTACTGATTTAAAATGAAAACACACGCTAGCCTCGCACAACTGAAAGCTGATTTACAGGAGGGGCGTGATATATAAAATAGTAAAATATATAGAATAATATATGAACCCCCAACCTCCCCTCCTTCCCCAACAACAAAGAAAAATAAAGTAAGTAAAGTAAGTAAAGATATTTAACTGTACATAATTAATAAGTAAACATGGTTCTAAAAGGACAGCTGCGCAATACTACGCTTAAATTGACTGAGCGAAGTCGCTCTTTTTGCATTTAATGGAAGATTATTCCACAGCATTGATGCACTATATTTAAAGCTTCGCTTCAAAAAATTAGTTTTTGGTTTTGGAAGTGCTAGATCCGTTTCCTGATTTCGTAAATTATGGTCTCTATTAAGTTCGCTATGTTTTACGAGGCTTTCTCTTAAACATGGCGAACAATTTTCATTAAGGATTTTATACATTAGGATACTCTTCAACTTAGCCCGCCTAACATGTAGATTATCCCATCCTAAACTTTCCAAAAGATCACTTGATCTAATCCTGTCATCATATCTTGCTCCAGTGATAACCCTAGCCAGGGACGTCGCTATAGAGGGTGTGTGTGTGTGTGGGGGGGTAACACCCCCCGATAATTCAAAGTTGGTCAAAGTTGGTCAAAATGGAAGTGATATTTGCCCAAAGTTGGTCAAAATGGAACTGATAGGTAAAGGTAAAACTGGGGAAAATTTGGTCAAAGTTTAGGATAAAAGATGGTCGAATTTGCCGAAAGTTATGAAATGGTTCGTAATTTTAACAATTTTAAAGCTTTTGTTATGTTTGCGGTGAAAAAATTGGAAGCGTTGCTTACATTGGTCGAACATTTTTGAATTTGCTTATGTTAGTCCGCAAAAATTTTTTTGCCACTATGCTTATGGTGAGTCCGAAAATTTTTTTTGACGACCTCGCCCCCCTCCCCCCGCCCCCCGTCGACAAGATTTTCAGAAAAATTTTTAAAACCAACTTTGTCAAAATCCTAGGAAATGTTGGTCAAACATGATGACCCCAATGTTGATGCCTTCGCGACGTCCCTGACCCTAGTCGAACGATTTTGTAATATTTGCAATTTATCTTTTAATATTTTATCGCATGTATCCCACAGGGGAGAGCAATAATCAAAATATGGTTGAATTAATGATTTGTATAATGTAACAAGAGAGGTCTGCGGAACGAATGGTTTAATTCTCCTCAATGCTCCTATGCCTGAACAGATCTTCCTGCCGATATTTCTTCAATATTAATATCAAAAGTCAACCCCTGAGATAGAGATATTTATAACAGTATATAAAAATATATAGTAGAGAGTGAGATACTGAAAAATACACCGTGAAATATTTTCCATATCTTCACTATTAGTGAAGATATCGATCACGTGACTTTTAGTAATTATACAATTTTTTGCTTGTGACTATATAATAAACAGTGTTCTGTTTATTATATAGTCCCAAGCAAAAAATTGCATAATTACTAAAAGTCACGTCTTCAAGATAAAAGTCATATCTTCAAGCCACCGTGTAATGTTTTACACGGTGGCTTGAAGATATGACTTTTATCCGGCTTCTCGTGCTAAAACAATATTTTACTCACTCGCTGCGCTCGTTCGTAAAATATTGTTTTCACCACTCGAAGATAAACGTCATATCTTCGCGCCGCCGTGTAATATCTCTATATATTTAGTGACAAGAGCTGTATATTTATACTTTACTAAACTAACGAAACTCATCTTTAACTTTATTAGATGTATGAATATTTTGAAGTCGAGCATTGGTAACTAGTGTGCACGTGCAGATTGAGTGTGAATGCCGAGTTTCAAGACGTACACTATAATAAGTCACGTTTTATTGATTCATGTACTTCAAATATTGTAAATAGACCTACCCAAAGACGCACACAACCCCATTGTAATTGTCGGATTAAGCTGCTCTTGTCAGTTCTACGTCTCTTTTGCAGCGCCGTCCTGTCACCCAACAACAGTCGCGTTGACTTTGTACTTTTAATTATGTGTTTTTATCATTATATAGCTGGGCTATTTTTTAGGCTTGCAAACCTTGGCCGTCTCATATACATACGCGGCTTATAGCTACGTTTAAATTAAAAACATTTGAAATAATATTCGGTTATTTCATATCTTCATCTCATATATACTAGCTAGCTCTGTGCTCTAACGCCTTAATGACTGGAGTCAGTTAAAATGAATGTAACATATTAAACAGTATGTTTTATTATTCTTTTCGAAATTCACTTTTCGAAACTCATGTTTTGAAAATTACTTTGTTATTGAGCCTATGAACAGCAAGAAACAAATTCGTCCAGGAAAACATGGGAATGTATTCTTTATCTATCCCTGACATGCTAAAATAAGTTGGAAACTTGGAAACGAGGTCATTGGGTAAAAAGAGAATAATTGCGGTAAGGGCGGCCCGGTATAAGGTACCAAAGTGTTTGAAGCTCACTATGCACTCGTGCATGCAATGTAGATATAAAATTACTCAGAGGAGCAGAAGTGCATGCCTTTTTCATTGTGTAGAAATACAGTAGTTTGAATTAGCGTTGCGTAAATGATCGCGAACATGCCTTGTATGTTTACTAAATTTTCTAACTTTATGGGGGTGTTTAGGAGCGTTTAATTAAATAATATTTGCAGTGTAACAAAAGTAAAAATTCTCGGCAACTGCTTTCAGTATATTCATGCATGACGTGTTAACAAGACAACGAGTGTTTACAATTGTTTATTTTAAATTTAGTATACGTATATACTAAATGCCCCTGTAAGAAGGAAGGGGAAGGCTTTGTTAGGTAAGGAGGGTTGAACAGGACGTCATATATTGGACACAAGGCGTTTATTAGAGAGCGCATGGGTGCTTATTAGATAATTTGTACGATATCCGGCGTACAAACGACAGAAATTAGAGGACAAAATTTTAAACAATCATGCAAGATCAACCTCGCGCATGCCAGGACTTGCAGGGCGGGCTGCAGGCTTGCGAGAATGGATCAAGATCTTCTTATAAATATTGTAAAAATATATACGCATATCATCAACGAACATCACAGCAACCTAAAATTTCCTCTGATGACTATGAAAGGAGGGATGATTATAGTTGCTTACTATTTGCCATCCTTATCCTTCCATGGCGTCCCTGTATGACAAGTACAACCCAATATCTCGCATATAATATATAGAGCTTGAGTAAGTTTAACGACGAATCTTACCTATGTTATATTTAGCACTCATATATAAAAGCAAAGTCCAATTAACGATCGATCCAAAATCGATTCAGAGCCATGGCTTATAGTGCATGAGGACAAACGAGCTGAGACTGATTCGAGATCGATCTAAACTAGATCACCAGCATCGATGTTGATTATAAAAATTGTCAGTTATTTCGCTCGGTAATTCGTTCCATGCATACCCTTGTGTCGCTTTATAAAAGAAAGCCGAGCATGGCAGAACGAGTTTACTGTTTATCAGATTTATTTCAAAATCTTGAATATATAGAGGTAGTCTGGCTGTTAAAGCTTTCAATGTCATGATAGTTTCTCAGTCTTTTCTTTAAAATATCTTCAATAGTTCCCAGTTCAGATTTTCAAATATTGGGGTGGAACATCGAATGTTTCGCTATAGTGAAAACGCGCAGCTTTCTTTTGTAACTTGGAAGCGTTTTTCTAAAGTTTTTCTCGCTTAACTGTAGTTAGTACGGTTACTCAAATTTTTGTTTAAAATCGCTCTAATTCAGTCGATCTCAAAGTGTGCTAGTAAGTGTGAACGGCTCCTGAAATTCAATGTTTTCGTGTTCGCGTTTTGATACCCCCAAATCCATATATTTTTTTAGAAATATTATTAATATACCCTATAAATATGATAAATTTCAATATATAAAGGTTAAACTAACCTTCAATTATTTGTATAGTCACTTCAAGAATTTGAATCGCTTCAACTGTACGTCACGGCGTCCGTGTACAAGAGTGTGACTGCATGGAAAAAGCTGGCAGCTCTGGTGGAAATATATAATGCCGCAAGAATAGCGTAGGCGATTGATTAATTAATAAATTAATAAATTAGTACATTATTTATAAATGTTATTATCTTACATAAACAATGACATTAATAACTGGACGTTTGCATTAATTAATCGCCCAAGCGCTAACACTATTCCAGTATAATATTCCTGTATACATTGCCACATATATATAATACATATAATACATATAATATTCCTGTATACATTGCCTATAATTATATAGGCCGAACTATAGAAATATGTGGCCGAACTATAGAAATATCTGGCCAGAGAATGTTGTGATTCATTTAGTTGTGTGGTGTCTAAAATGCGCTGTGTCTGGTTAAAGTCATTCCCACGGTTGACTGCATGCAACCATTATTATAGCCCGCGTGCAGGCCTACCGAAGGAAGAACACTGGGCCTGCAAGGAAGATCGGGTATTTTGTAATACGCCCCTTTTCAAAACACGCCCCATTCGCGCGTCAATTGTCAAAAAAGAACCAATGACAGCAACCCAAATAGTAAACAAACTCGCATTAAAATGTTGCGGGCTTTTCTCTGCTATATCTATTTAATTTAATTTAATTGCTTTTCCATCACTACAGTACAGAAACATACACACACATACATAATACAATGACATAAACTGAGTTGATGGTTGGGTATCCGCAACCCACCGGGCACACGACGTTGTTTCAACTTTGAAATTTGGTAGAAAAAAGGTTGCGACGTCGACAACCTAATATCTACGTTGCTCTGACGTTGTTTTACAAACATTGGTTCAACAGCAGCCAACAGACGTTGAATTAACGTTCATTCATGGTTAAATGTACGACGTCGATTTGTGAACAAATCTCAACGTTGTTTTAACGTGGATTCAACGTTGAATTATGGTTGACGAGATTGGCAACCTAATTTCAACGTTGTTTCAACGTCGAAACAGTAACGTCGATCCAATTTGCATAGTGAACCCTTTTTCGACGTCTATCCAACGTCTGCAAGGTCATTTCCAACGTTGATTCAACGTTGGATAAACGTCATTTTGCCCGCTGGGAACAGCCTGAAACCAATTACTGCGGGCCCGAGACAAATATCAATAACACAAATAACAATTAAACCATGGAGACTAAAAACAACAGTTCATCGAGTTTGTTAGAGTCCTTGCTCTATTGCATTTCGGGCAAATCGTTTTAAAAGTTCGTGCATCACCACAGTCGTATGTGTTCTTTAATTTAATGCAGTATTGTAGTACTCTCGCATTACAGACTTGAATGTGTTGAAGTTCTCCATACTCAAGTCAAGTATGACCGTCAATGTGTTCCATGTTCTGATGGTTCTTATCCAGTATGATCTTTGGTAGGTTGTTGTTTTGCACCGCGGGACTTCGTACTTTACACCTTTCGTGTTAGTGGACGATCTTGTATGTCTTGCTGTCTTGGCGTGCAAGGCAAAGGACGAGCTGGTAATGCCGCCAA